GTGTGTGTGTGTGTGTGAGAGAGAGAGCGAGAGTGTGTGTGTGTGCATGACCGGGGCTGTCAAGCTTCAAAAAGCACCATAAATATATAGTTCAAGCATGTTCCAAAATTATATTCCAAGTCTATTTTTTGTTGTGTGTGAGGAGATTATTTGCTGATAATTTAATTTAATTTAAAGAGTGAGAGCCAATGGCATTTAATTCACCTTTATGAGACTAGTATGAATATGCTAATGTGTGAATCAGTGTTATTTTTTATTATTAGTTTGAATTAGTTTTTATATTTATGTTTGTCATTTCATTTATTTATTGTTTATTTGTTAAATGTTTAATACATTTTTTTTGTGCTTTTGTCATTTTTATTAGCCTGTTTTTTAATATGTCTGTAATTGTATACATTTTTATTTCAGTTTCAGTTTTAGTTATTTTATTAAATTATTGGTTGAACTAAAAAAACATTTTTTTTATATATATAAATAGTTTCAGCTAGTTTTCTATTTTTCATTTTTACGTTTTAGTCATTTTCATTGTGTTTTTGTAATTTTTTTTTTTTTAATATGTCTGTTTTTAATCATTTTTATTTCACTTTACTGTTAGTTATTTTAGTTTTTATATTTTAGTTATTTGTGTATATCCAAAATCCCAATATGGTTATATTTTTCATATTAAATTATATGCATTATTCATTATGATTTCTTTATTGATCCTCGTATTACTGTCTTATGTTACTCAATATTATTCATTTATTCTTTATTGCGATTTTCATATATGATCATATTCCATAGACGTAATATGTTTTCCGTGATTTGACTTATCAAAAGTACATCTTGTTATTAATTTATGCTCTTCAGAAATATTTTGTCTATGCAAAAGATGTTTAGCTAAATCTGTCTTTTTGTTTCTCGTGATACTAGATGTTCTTTTCCCAGAGCTGGTATGTGCAAGATGATATCTGAAGATTGCTTAACTCTGTTGTTTCTGCTAGAAGGATGTAAAATATGTAGATAATGACATAATGGAGAAATTCGGATGAAATTTATGATCCAGACATAAACATCTTGTGATGTTGTAAGAGGATGTAAGTCTCTAGTGTATATATTATTCCAGTTAGCTTCTTCTGTCCATCACATGCTGCAAAGGCTTTTGTCTTTGACTTCTGAAGCTTATTATACTTAGATTAGATTACTCTCTTAGAAATTGAAGCAGAATATACTCAGTTGGGATTTTGTATTCATTTTTTATATTTTTCTTTCATTTTAATTTTTCATTATTATTATTATGATCTGTAGTTGTTATAATTTATGATTTCGTCTTCAAATAAATTACAATTTTATCTGAAAGACTTTGAATGCCTGGATTTTACGGCATCAGTTGTTTTAGTACATCAAGTTAAATTAAATAAAAAATATTGATGTATAATGTATATTATTTTAATTAATAGTTTGAATTAGTTTTTGTTTCATGTATTTAATTTTTAAATTTTTTTTTTGGTAATTTTATGTGTCTTTTTTATTTTTGTTTTTTATTATGTCCGCAAAATTTTTATTTATTGTTTTTTCAG